TATAATTTTTCTTATAAATTTATATATTAAACTAAATTTTACTATAGATTGATTTTATATTTTTAAACAATTATATAAAATTTTATTTTAGAACTATTTCAAAATGGAACGTACTATAGAAAACTCTTCTAGTTTATCGTAATTTATGATATAACCATATCCAATGAGAAGTAAAGTTATTGGTATAGCATACTTTCAATATCCTAATTGCCCATCTCACATATTTCTTGCACATGTTTATGATCGTGTACATTAAAAAGATAAAAAGGCAAATTAAAACAATAATGATTTGAACGTATTATGACAAGTACGATGATCGAGTCGCAGCATTAACTATTATTAAAAAAATATTCTAATTAGGGATGAGGCTTTTAATTAGCTCAAAGAAATTAGGCGGGAGGAGAATACGCGTTTAAGCATTTACATAGTGATGACAATATGCCGAACATAATTTTGTTTTTACATTTTTCTGATTAAATTCGTAAAATAGTCTAACTGGGTAGGGCTTCAACGAAATGACTGCGATGCCATTTGTAATGAGTCGTACGGTACTTTTTTGGCCATTCGAATTTGCATGCGTGGTATGCGAATTGTCCATAGATTCATGAAAATTGCATTCCACGGGACTTTGATGCATTATCGTCGATTGGAACTCGCGCAGCAAATGTCAGGGTTAAACCGAAGATTGATGCATTAGAACGCTGATGTTCCAATATCGCGGCAAGTCGTGGTCAATTTACATTGGGGTTCGATTTCGTTTGATTTTGTTCGTTTATTGGTAGCGACAGGTTTGATGAGTCAGGCGGAGCTTCGCGGTGTATGCTTAAATGTCATAATTACTTGAAAACGAGAACGTGTCACTTTTTTAAATGTCAGACGGTGCATTCCGCAAATATCTTGTAACTGCCTCGTACGCGTCTGATAAAGATTAAGATTAAGAATATTTTAAGGCGAAGGTGTGTGTGTTAGTATTCATATGAATATTCATATTATTCTCAAAAATAGGGATATCAAACCAGTTCGTGGAAAGAACATTTGCATCACTTTCAGATAACATGACATTCATTGACAAACTATCTGCATGAGTTTTCTACGATATGGTGCAATAATTGAATGAAGCATCGTGGAAGTGGATGTTCGTGTTTTGAAGAAAATGTCGATAGATACGAGACTAATTTTTAATTCATGAGTGTAATCAATAACAAGAAATTGTCGAATGAGCAGGTTTACGGAAAAGCGCGTATATTTTAGCATCGTCTTGGCATTCATTTACTTCTACACACAGACATTTACATTATTAACAGATTCTCGACTATTTATTAAGAACCTGTACCTTTGCAATAGAATACAATGTGACATAGGAAAATAAATCAGATCCTTATTTCTCTTGTTTCAATAATATATTGGCAAGGCTAACATTAGAATTACTAAAGAATTCTTCATCTTACTCTTACTAACTTTCTTAATCTCACTCGATTAAAAAGATAATTATTAGTTTCTATGATACATGCTTCGCCAATGCAATGAACAACTATTCCAAACTTTGTTTATTAAATCTTTCATGGTTGAACGGAAAACAAAGAACTATTCGATATTCTTAAACGATTCGTTATTGTATTTAACTTTCTGGTCAGATCTAGAAATAGTTTCACGTGCCCGAATTCTAGGACGAAATAGAAATTGATCAGTATTAATTTGTAATGTTTATTTGTGTTAAAATTGAGCAGAACTTTAAGAAAATCGTTTGACAAAAGGATGACTCGTTTGGAATGACTCGGGCACGAAGCCCGTGACGAAAATTTCTGAGAAACCGAAACGATATCTAATGCTATCTCCGCATTCGATGAATGCAACGCTAATAAATGACACTCGTATAATTCACATACTAAGACGCACAATACGATCGTATCGTGAATCGTGCGTGAGCAAGCGATTCAAGGAAACCACCACATTGAAACACTAAGCAATCGTACGTGACCTAGACACTGCAACCCTTTACGCGACTCGCTATTCAATCGTCGTACGTTTTATTCGATTTTAGAAAAATCCGAAACAAATATCCGGTAGAACCTTGCACGAACTGCCAATTATCTCCACAATTCTCCTTCGTTGTGTTGTTCTTTGTTACACCGTCGCCTTGCCGCACACACTTCAATCTGTCGCGTGCAAATTAAATTGAATGCAATGTTATGTATACCTCGTTTCCGTTTCCCCCTGGTTTTCAATATTCTTCTCTATTTAATTCGTTCATCTGTCTTTTTTCCCCCGTGCAATTAATCCAATTTTACATTTTACTTCAGTGCCTGGTTCGAAAATAACGTTCTCGAAAGCTCGTCTGAATAATCCGTTTTGTTTTACTGTATTTCAATTTATATTATCGAGTTCTGTGATATATTTGTAACTAGACTGCGCAGTTGATCTATTTTATTATTATTTATTATTATCGATTCCATCTATTTTATTGGTAGGAAGATTTCAAGTATTGTAGCATGGTTGTATACTATTATCGAATCGTTAAAATTATTCAAGAGAAACAGAATTTTTCTGTCTGGCTTCCGTCTGCAATCCGCGGAAGATACGCGATAATAACGTGAAAATAACAAGATTCAAATGGCAGCAAGCTTTATATTGTGACAATGAAATGAAGAATCGTAATAAACTTATGAAATGGATTGTTTCTTTAACTGCATAAAGTGAAGAACATGACGCAAACACAGCGAATATTTGTGTCATGAATGACCATATGCGTCAGAAGTGGTGGCCGAAATTCTGTGCCTTTATCTCAACAGTAATTGGGATTTTATATGTACAGCTGCCTACAAAAGTGATCGTACACCTAAACGTAATAATCTTTTTAAAATTGGACTATGTGACTTGAATTTTTTTAGTTGCGTTATTCAGTACTTACAGTTATTTAATTCAGTAATTCAAGTCATTTAGCTGCGTTTTAAAAAAGTTATTACGTTTTGGAAGGTGTGCGAACACTTTTGTGGGCCACTGTACAAATTCGTTAAAATACGAGAAGTATTTAAGAACGTATAGACCTTATTAAATTTAAATTTACGAACATATTAAAAAATTATTGAGAGGGGACACAAATTATTTCACTCCCGTTTCTTGCGATTTTACTTTGCATAAAAACTTGCAGTTTAACATTAGGATTATCAAACTCGTCCAAAGAACTTGTTTATAATTTGTTCTTTTACAATTCCTGGTACCATAAAAATGTTTTTAGAAGAAATTTTTAGACACACTTCTTTATATTCGTGCATATATTACAATAAAAAATCTATGAAGCTCAAATAAATCCAATTTTGTCAATGTTATACAATAATATACACTAGTCACGTTTAAGGCTCGGTAATTTTAGAGTAGATAACAACTTCATCAATATTATAGTTCGTTTAAAAATGATCAAATTCGCAAAGTAGGATAGATCGTCAGATACACGACCGAGTAAATTGCCCAAAGAGCAAAATTCAGAGAGTTCGATATAAATCCATCTCTATCTCCATAGTTGCCTGTAAACGCTTTGCTGTTTTGGCTATTAAGGATAATTAAAAATCTCAATTGTATTCATTATTTTGACTTCCTTTTTCCTATTTTTCTGCAACATCTTTTTCTTTACTTTGTATTATGTACTCTTGTTTACTTTGTCATATTTTTGTATCGCCGCATTACCGTCTCACCGTAAAGATCTAGTTGTATACGATATTTATAATTATACTTGTAATGGAAAGTTTCTCCGTCAATTAAATAAATGAAATAAATTGAATAAATTGAATAAATTAAAAAATTAAATAAATTAAATATAAAACTGCTGCCTACGCATCACACATATAGTAACCATAATCCATGCAGTGAAAACGATACCAAAAAGCACGTACCAAAAGCGCGTACCAAAAAATGTGGCTCACCTTTAAATTTCTCAAGCATATTAATTGTATCCCCAGCCGAAAGCTATTTTAGGAAACTCGTCGCGCGAACCATAATCGGAAGCCACCTACACACGAAGCTAGGCTTTGGTCCCTCTCCATAGAATGGCTAGATTTCGTGTCGGTCCAAGTGATTTCCGGGTGACGAACGACCGATTGGCCGAAAAAGCGGGTCCACCTTGACGTCCATCTGCCGCCCGATGATGATCTATTCACGACTCATCCGAGAGCATTTTTCCGAAGATGCACTGGTCAGATGAAGTGCATTGTGAAGAGGGCAGGGATGACCCCTTTCACTGTACCACGTTGCTACGGTCGTGTATATAAAGAGCCGAAGCATCTGACGAAGAAGCACAAGTACCAACCCATCTGCATCCTAACCGCTTCATCGCCGGTGTCCGTGTGACAGAGAGATTATGTTCACTATCAAGGTAGGTGCTCAGTCAGTAAGACACGCGGCCGACAGTAGCCCGCGAGATCTGGCTTTCATCGGCGAGAGAGACGAGTCTCGGCGAGTTAACGTTGTTAGCACGGGCTGTGAGTTATCGTCGGTGTTAGGCGGTTCGTGGTCATTGATTTACGTTGGTCACCCGAAGAAAAATTTCGTGGTTTGCGTCGGACGGCCGTACTTAGCTTTGTCAGACTACATCGTTTCGGAGACCGTCGTCGACGGTCGACCACGGGATAGAGGATTGAGAAGCACCGGTAGGAAAATCTCCAGTTTTCTTTCCAAGTTTTTCCAACAGTTTCTCTTCCGCTAAACGCGTTTGCAACACTCCCGGATAGATAAGGATTCGCGAGATAACACGTGTCGATAGTTCACTCTTCGAAGTCCATATCTTGTCCCGGCTCAATCCGAGACATCCTGTTTGTAATTGTATTTCTGAGGCCAGAGACTTGCGAAATTGCTAACTTGCTCTGGGCCAATCTGAAACATCCTGTTTGCAACTGTTTTTCCAAGGCTAGAGATTTGTCTGCAATTGTATTTCTGAGGCTAAGAGTGTTGCGAAATCACAAATTGTTCTGACTCGGATCCTGTTTGTAAATATATTTCTGTATCTAAAGATATGTCAAATTACTAACTTGTTCTGGCTCGGTTTGTGTGTATCGCCCTGTTTTGCAATCGTATTTCTAAAGTTAGAGACTTTTGACATTATTAACATGTTCTGACCCAGAGGTGGGTCTTCTAAATGAGTAGATGGAAGACAAAATATTAAAAACATTTGAATTTGAAAGTATTATCGCACTATTTTCGGTCTATTAACAGTGAACGCGCCATCGCCGGTTTCCATTTTTCTATGTTAGAATTACTGAAATTACAAAGATACTTCTTTAGAAAATGATTGATTAAATTGTTGTATTCAAACGTATGTTATAATACAAATTTGCACAAGTCCTAAGTAAGAGCGATTTTGTAACTTTCATAAGATGAAACAAAGTCACTTTTAGTGCGTTTTGTGTACGCACATTAAGTAAAAGAATAAAGTTCTGCTTTGCTTTAGCTCGTTGCAATTGAGGTAGACAAATTTTACTTTGCATAAAAATCCGCAGCACAGTAATCATACTTTAAATTTAAAGTCTTCGAAATTTGAACATCAGATTTCATAGCTATTATCCATTTCTTCAAATTCATAATGTTCTTGGCATTACGTTTTCCATTTCTTATTATTATTTTTCAATTTTGGGATTGACTGCATTTTTTATTCAAATCTATATTGTAATGAAAATTACACAAATCCTAAATAAGTGCAATCTTGTGGTTATCATAAGATGAAAAAAGTCGCTTTCAACGCTCGGTGTCGACCATGTTAATATTCGCAATAACAAAAATAAAAAAAAGTTCTGATTTGTTTTAGCTTGCTAAAACTGAGGTGAACGATTTAAACGTTGCATAAATATCCGCAGTAAAGTAGCCAATTTCTAAGTTCAAACATTTGTGAAATTACTAACTTGTCATAGAAAAATCTTCGAAATTTGATTTCATAGCTAAGTGTATTATTGCTTGTGATTTGGATAATTCGTACGTAATATTGTTGGTACTGCGTTTCTCGTTCCACGTTCTTCTTTTACGATTTTAGGATATGGACAAGACAGATCATATAACGATGCGCGTTTTTTCTGTGCCGTCGCGTACCACGAGGTCACATGACACATAAAAATTGCGATTTTCCGCGGCTTCGAAAACATCTAAATCTAATCGTGGCGCCAGATAAGACTAAACGATGCGTGCAAATGTAATGCCCGAACGCCGCGATTTATTCGTAATCATTCGTAATATCGTGTTTCGTTTCTCCTTTTTTCCACGCTCGTGTCATCGCACTGCGTGCGCGCGATAACGTTTCGCTATATGCTCGCAACATGGCGTTGTATTTGCCGAAATAGAATGAGCGAGATAAATGGGAAACATGAGTTTCTCGCGTCAACGGAATATTTTTTTTTTATCAGAGCACGCTGTGAAAAATCGTCGAAACTCGATGCGACCGGCGGAATATTGTTTTTAACGTTATTCGGAGACGGCTTGTTAATGCTGGAAAGCGATATTAATGTGACAAAGTTACGCGTGCCGATAATGACCCTCCTGTTATATTGTACTGATCCGATAATGTGTAACTGATTTACCTCCCTCTATCGTAATTTCCGCAAAAATCTTATCGCTCGTGGACTAAATTGTACCGCTTAATCAATGCGTAAACATAATTTAAGGCCTTTCCTCGACCACCTGTTTTTCGCAATAACTCCGTCGATTTTCCACGGTAGTTCGGTCTCGCTAAATGTTTCCATCCCGTTTTATGTGTTCTTCGATAGACTTTCGATATACTGTAGAATTTTGTTGTAATTTGTTGTGCTTAAATTATAAATATGTATCGCGCAATTGATTTGAAGCGTGAAACGAAAATGGATGGAAACTGAAAACGTTTAGAATTCGTTACTATCTTGTTATAATTCAGAAATATTCATCTTAGATTAAAGTCTAATTCAAAACAAATTCAAATCTGAATCGAAAATGGAAGATAGTTCGCAAAGTTTAATATTTTCATTCGTATGTTATTATATTTTTATTTATTTACTTACTTGCATGTTGCATATGTTCGATATTCCTTATTATTATAAAAAGAGCTGAGCAAAAATAATTATAAATTCAGTGATATCCTTTTCAGAGGTTTCTTGATCAAAATTACAAGGCAATTACCGATACGTATTGATCTCGACTGACATATTTTCTTCGTCATTTTATCCTCGGTTATTCTCACCTTGTTCGATGACATTTTGGATCTGAACATGCTCTCGGCCATGGAGCGTTTTGTCACTCGGCTTCGCTGTTTTCATGTTTGCTTGTCGACGCGCATCTCCGACCTTAAGCGCGCGAAGTACCATTTACTGGCGGAGCCGGCATCCTTTCGCCATAAGCGTGTAGCATTTATCTTACGCAGGATTGGCGTCAGGACGACTCTACGACCAGTCCATAGAATATCGTTATTACCGTTATGTCATTCGCCGGTTGGATTGGTATTGTGACATTTCCATTCAGCAGGTTCCATCGATCCCGAAACAGGAAATTCGTGCTTTCTCAAGATTCCCTCGAACGGAATCGCCGCGAGTCAAATTGTAGGGAACGAAATTCTTTTGAAAGAATCCGCGATGGGATCCTCATTGTTCTTTTCATGTTCGTATCTCCTCGAATCGATCCGCCGCCGCGGCGTTCCATGCGCAGGATTAAAAACGAGGCGTTCGAACGCGTTCATTAGCGATGCCGCGGCGATTGCATAAAATCGAAATTAACGGAATTCGAACGGGAGAACATAGTACGAGCGTGAAATTAAGAATGGAATTATCATAACAATTATGAAGAACGACGCGCGATTGCGCCACGGTACGTGTCGACACCTTTTTTTATGGAGGCAGGACAATTGCGAGGGAATAACACGCGACACCGACGAGGATCCCGAATACCTCCGTACGCACACACGAGCTTCGTTCTGGATTCCTATTGTCAGATTTTTCGCATCGTTCCTTTTGTACTGCCATACCCAATATGTGCCTGTAATTATGATACTGACCTAAATCGATAATCCGTAGAAATTCAATACACCGTATATCTAGAATGCCAACGACTCGCATTATAATAATACCGCGCCAATATTTTTTTTACCGTGCTGAGAATTGATTTGCCGACGATGATACCGCGTATTACGTTTTGAACGTAAATTATTCGAAATGGAACATAGACGAGTTTTTTTTTCTTTGTTTATTTCCATGAGCATAGACATCGGGTAAATGAAAATATTGCCGAGTCGATTCTCTATTGAAATAAATAATAACCATTTTATTTCGTTTGAAGCACACGAGGTGTATAAAATGCAAATGTGTACGGCAAAGGATTTCCCAATACTCGCGAGGTTTTGAGCAATGTTATTATATAAGAGAAAAACATTGCCGATAGGAGTTGCAAGTTTACAGATTTTTATTGCAAGTTTGTGATTGAATGGTATGTCTGATTCGTGGTCATTGCGTAAGTGAAGCTTATGATTAGAGCGGCATGAAGTTATGGCACATTGGAGTGTTCACATTGGCTGCAAATATATTCATGAAAAAATATAATTGATGACTTTCCTCACGGAAGTTTTTAGTTTTACATTGCTGAAAAATGTGTACTTTGCATTTCGTTTGTCACTTTGTACTCTGAACATTTTACTGCACCGTAAATTCGTTGCCGTATCCTCTTCGTTCACGCAATCAGCAAAGAACATGATCTCAACAATAATTTTACCGAGAAGCATTTACTCACAAATTTCTATATTTCAATTCAATTCGTTCATTGTGTCTGGACAATTGAATTCGTTCAATTCAATTGTCCAGACAATTTAATTTCACAAAATAAAACAAATATTTCTGTTTTTATTTAATATATTTATATAAATGTGGGCACTATTTCATTTGTAATAGAACAGATCAATAAATTAACGCTAATGTTACATAAAAATTGAAGAATATCCTTTTTTAGTTACAATAAAATTAAGAAAAGAATTCTTAACGTAATTGATGTTATCGTGAACAAAATTCGCAAACTATTTAAACTACTTATTTGATATTCTTTATTTTCGAATAATTCATTAGAAGTATAATGACACAAATTTAGATAGAACAAAAGGCAAGGGAACGTGTAACTATCGTAATCATTTCTTTTTTGTCAGTTAGGAGAGATTTATACGGTTTCGAAGCATTTAAATATGCGACTCGTCGTGTCCACTTAAGGGGTTAAAAGTCATTTCTGTTCCTCGAAATGCTTTAGCAATCCTTCTCGCTGCGATTTACGTCGGATTCGTACAAATTTTTCTGTCATCGCAGCTCGTAGAATTCGATATCTTTTTATCCAATCAAATTACGTATACAAGTACGCAATGACACGTGTTTCTTGCCGAAGCCACCATGCGATTTTATCCGCATATAGTTTGATCGTAACGAATCGCCCAGTTGGCAACCGTAGAGCACAAAGTCCATTGGCAGTTGGTATACCCGCAAACAATTGTATACCGGCGCGTATTTTCTAAGGCAGCGCGTGGTCATCGCGTCGACCGACACGGGAAGACAAGCGTAGAAAATGATCGATTACCGCATCACCCCTCGCGATCGTTTGACATTATGAATGAAGACGCGTCTCCGCGCCTCTTTCATAACAGTCCGTCTTCTTGCTCGTCCCAAAGGACAAGTGGACCCGGCGTCATTACCAGAACTGTAATTTCTCCTTCATTTCGTGCAACACTTGTGAAATTTCGCGGCGCTTTGTCGTGTTGTAGGTCGGCGGGCGGTAATGACGGGTCCGCGATCAATTAGCATTTCAGCCGACAGTTCGTACAGGTCGCGCGATTCC